TATACACACACACACACACACACACACACACACACACACACACACACACACACACACGTGCGCGTGTGTCTGTAACTGACTGTTCGGTTTTGTTCCTTCAATATTTTAAAGCAGTATTTTTATACAAACTTGAGTTTACAGTCTGTCCACTCTTGCTTGGGAGCTAAATTTCTGGGGAAGGCAATCCAGTGTGCCAGTCCAACCTCGTGACATTGTACAAATTCTCTTCCTTACTCGGGCCTAAAAATCTTTTTGACATGGGGACACTTAAAAATCACGTTAAACATAATTCATTGTACATACAAATATTGCTATACTATAGTTCCTGGACATCTCGGATGTATTTCAATAACGGAGTAAACAAATGTCACACTCCTGCCTCATTTTCAGCTTCAGTTACAATTTTCTTTTTGTAACAGTTTGAGTGTTGTGGTTTACGGGGTTCCCTGACATTTAAGCATTTATTTATTTTTTACTACAGCTTGTATTTATTTGTGTGCTGAACAACTGGTCTTCGGAATAGCCATCTGACAGAGCTAGGTCAAATGACATTTGCAAATATTTTTGAACAAAGTTGTTAGGCTTCTTAATAGTGGCTCCGGTTTAATGGTCGAGCCAGTTGCAGGAAGCTGTCTGAACACATTTAGCACTGATTTCACTGATGCAATGAAAGCTACATATCTGGTTCTGCACACCGGTTCAAATGATCAATTTATCTACATTACCTGTGTAAATAACATGTTTAAATAGCGCCATGCAGTTGATGTTGTGTGTACAGTATTTTGGGATGTATTGTGCTGTGATTAACCTGCTATCGCCTCAGGTGAATGTGATAATGTTTATATTTGTAAATTCAAAAGCTCAGTGCTAATATGCATTAAAAGACTTCCATTTGTACCATGAAGTTGTCTATCCTCTGCCGTAAGAACTTGTCTTCCTCACACGTTTTCATCATGAATCAATGTACTGAAAGGAAACTACGCGTGTGTGTGCGATATGTGTGTGTGTGTCTCTCTCTCTCTCTCTCTCTCTCTATATACATATATTAAAATAAAACGTTCACACAGTAAATCAGAGCAGGAAAAGTAGGTCCTGCTCTGATGCGGTTCATGAAGGAAACGTCTTGATTGGAATGGCAGAGATATTGATTTTTTTTTTTTTTTTTTGTGCCAGTAAGGTTAAAAGAGAGGTTTGCACACATTTGGAGAAAATAAAACGTGAAAAATATTTGAGATAAAGGTGGAAAGGATACCCGAATATGTTCAACAGGGACAAAACAAGATTAATTTTACCTGCCAAAAAAAACCCTCCAATCCAAGGGTCGTTTAAAAATATTGTACTGAGCACAAGTTAAATCAAATGGGGGGGATATGTGTGTGTGTGTGTGTATATAGTATAGTCTCGTGCAATAATTTATGCAAATATAAATTAGCAAGTCATTTTTATATATATCCACTCACATCTTCACTACTGTGAATAATTCAGTTAATTGATTTGACTTGAGAAAATAAATGACACTTTATTTCACAGACCGTAAACAAAAACAAATGAACATTCAATTATATCCACAGTTTGACTCGAAAATAGTGAAGATAAGATGACTAGCACCGATTTTTGTCTCAAATGCTGAGACAGAGGTGGCGGCAAAGACCAACTATTGCTGTAATGACAGACCTAAAGTTAGAATCTCAATGTTAATGCATTTTGATTAAAGCATATACTACAAAACAGTTCCAAAACAAATCGTCATTGTCCATCACCAATACCTACTGTGATTTCTAACCATCTTACTCGACTGTCATCTTGTTAGTGGCCTACGTGATTACGTATTGGAGAATTGCTAAACATCCCATCTCAGCCCCGCTCTACTGCTATTAAGCCACAAACTCACTCAGAGTGGAAGATATGTGATGGGTGAGGAGCATCAAATTTCACCTGTTATTTGGCACCATGTGCGTACCGTCTTGTCAGGGTGTGCGTCCTTGGTATTACTAAGTTTTGTAGTCACTTGTAGCAGTTGTGTAATGAGGTCCTCTGTCAACACAAGACTGGCTACACTTTGTAGGCAGAACTGAGGGAAAGGAGTGCACCCAGATTCAACATTCTTTTTGTTGTAAAATAGACAAAGAAAGATATGTTCACGTCAGGAATGATTCTTACTGGAACAGCAAAAACGTATTTCCATTGTGTGCAAATCAGGTAAAAAAATGGGCCGCGACAAACTTGAAACATGAACAGAAAGGGATTGAGAGGATGTGATGGCCTTGGTTGATTTAAGAGACCATCTGAGTCAAAGTTGCTGTGTTGAAGCTGAAGTGAGCGTAGGTGTTGCATTAGGACTTGAAGACGTGCACGGCCCTAACGACGTACTGCCTGCAGATGGGGCACTCGCTCATCCTCTTGCCACACTTGGTGCAGGTCACCATGTGGCCGCACTCCAGCAGAACGCAGTCGATCACAGCGTCCATGCAGATTCTGCAAAGGTTTTCGTCGAGGAACATCTGTGGAACTCTCTCACCATCTGCAAAAAAAAAGGGACGGGGGTCGACATATAAGAAAGGTAAATGCTTTGTTCGTCTTGTTTAATGAGGAGTTGGGGTCGTAATTTGGTTGATAATAAATTGGAAAAGACAGAAACACCACATTACAAAGATGGAGATGACAGTACAGTACTGTAGTGGAATTGCCCCCTGCTGGCTATGTTAAAGAATGCACTTGGAATTGAAAACCATGGATTTGAAATTTGCGTGTGCAGCAGTGACTATAGACAGGGAGTAGACATGGATTACTGTACTCACAAAAAGTTAGGGATATTTAACTTTCAGGTGAAATTTCAGGACCAGCCTAAAATGCATTCAAACCTTTACAGGTGAACTTAATGTGACTTTCTCTAAGCTTTTGAATGCACATGTCCAACTGATGTTTCAGTACCTATTGCACAAGTTGCTATTCTCTAACGAGGAGCTCAAAGGCAAAATTCACAACAGACGTTTGATCCTTGGAACGACCAATACATGTCCTGGTTGTTGAGATTTTTTGTTGTGGTGTACCCACCATTGTTAACTTTTTGTTCCAATGAATTGTTTTAGATGAGGAACTCCCGAGTGCATCCTTCTTTTTAAATGCCCTGTTTTCATGAAGTGATGTCACTGTAGCGTGAACGTTTTACAGCTTCTATAAATTTCACCTAAAAGCCAGATATCCCATTTTGTGAGTAGTGTACATTACGTGATTAGCTTTGCAAACGCTAACAAGATGACTTATGTTTGACTGTGGATTCAATGTGGCAGGAACATCACAAAAGAGGACAATTTAAAATAATGTTTCAATTAGCCTTCTTCTGGGAAAAAGCAAGACAATATGCTTTACGCAAGTAAACCGGAGACCTTTGCAGTTAATTACATTCTGCCTGAAGGAACTACATGCAGGAATTTCACCAAAAGGGATGCGGTGGGAATACGCAACAGTGGGGTTGTTACAAAGGTTTTCGTCGAGGAACATCTGTGGAACTCTCTCACCATCTGCAAAAAAAAAGGGACGGGGGTCGACATATAAGAAAGGTAAATGCTTTGTTCGTCTTGTTTAATGAGGAGTTGGGGTCGTAATTTGGTTGATAATAAATTGGAAAAGACAGAAACACCACATTACAAAGATGGAGATGACAGTACAGTACTGTAGTGGAATTGCCCCCTGCTGGCTATGTTAAAGAATGCACTTGGAATTGAAAACCATGGATTTGAAATTTGCGTGTGCAGCAGTGACTATAGACAGGGAGTAGACATGGATTACTGTACTCACAAAAAGTTAGGGATATTTAACTTTCAGGTGAAATTTCAGGACCAGCCTAAAATGCATTCAAACCTTTACAGGTGAACTTAATGTGACTTTCTCTAAGCTTTTGAATGCACATGTCCAACTGATGTTTCAGTACCTATTGCACAAGTTGCTATTCTCTAACGAGGAGCTCAAAGGCAAAATTCACAACAGACGTTTGATCCTTGGAACGACCAATACATGTCCTGGTTGTTGAGATTTTTTGTTGTGGTGTACCCACCATTGTTAACTTTTTGTTCCAATGAATTGTTTTAGATGAGGAACTCCCGAGTGCATCCTTCTTTTTAAATGCCCTGTTTTCATGAAGTGATGTCACTGTAGCGTGAACGTTTTACAGCTTCTATAAATTTCACCTAAAAGCCAGATATCCCATTTTGTGAGTAGTGTACATTACGTGATTAGCTTTGCAAACGCTAACAAGATGACTTATGTTTGACTGTGGATTCAATGTGGCAGGAACATCACAAAAGAGGACAATTTAAAATAATGTTTCAATTAGCCTTCTTCTGGGAAAAAGCAAGACAATATGCTTTACGCAAGTAAACCGGAGACCTTTGCAGTTAATTACATTCTGCCTGAAGGAACTACATGCAGGAATTTCACCAAAAGGGATGCGGTGGGAATACGCAACAGTGGGGTTGTTAATGATGATGAACAGAACAGATGCAGTTTATAAAATGACAGAGCACATCGAGGAGACCACCTTACCTCCAATGGCCTCATTGTAGATAGGAGGGGGGAAGGCCACCACTTAAGTGTGGAAGAATTAAAGTAAGAGAAAATTGAGCATGATTATTAAGAAAAACACCCGTAATAGGTGTATATAGGTTTTAACCATACAGTCCAGCAAGTGTGGTTAAAAGCAGGGTGTGCATATTCAGGACAAGTAAGTGCTTACCTTTGGTTACAGTACTGCTCACATTTTCTACTGCAAGAAAAAAAGGAAATGAATCAGATATCAACCACCAGTACAAGAGCAACAATCAAGTGACAGCATGAAAACTGCTGATATCGATCAATACGGTTGGCTACGATTAAGTATTCCATGTCACGTGGGATTTAATAAAAACAGATGGCATATTACAATCATAAAATGACTGTTAAAACTGTGGACAACAAGCCGTAAAAATCGGGTTTGAGGAGGAATCTGATTTGAATCAGATATGCCTGGAGTCTGAACGCAGCCATTGTGCTTATTTTAGAAGTCTCCTCAAAGAAGAAAAGAGCTCATTACCGGTGATAGACAGGGTTAGTGGTTATTGAAACTTTGTATGGTGCACTATACTACGACGAGAGTAGGCCTCATCATTGTTTCGCAGGTTTGGAATGACATGCAGGACAAACATAGTAGATGAATAACATTGAAATGTTGAATGAGTTGATTTTTCTGAAAAATTGCACAAAATTCATTCTGCACTTAATGGTGGTTTGCTGTTAAGCAATTTTGTGCCATCCATGAAAGATAATTTTTATGCATGAGAGCCCTTTGCAATGTAAAAAAAATATATATGAAGATAACTATGATGTACCGTATATTGATTCAATAGAAAACAGAAATATGCACACATTTTGTCCATAGAGTAATTAAAATGGCATTTTTGTCATACATCTAGTTAAGACCTGTGTGTTCCTGTGTGGCCACAATGTATCACTGATGAAAAAGTGTGACTCTATCTGTCGTTGAAGTTGCTGGCCTCGAAATATTTTGTATCGGACTTCGTTTTTATCGTGTAATTGAAAACATACAATGACAATGACATGTTAGGCTGATAATAGTCTAATATACACAAGACTGACTAACATATATAGTGTTGAGTTGCAATGAGTTTAGAAAACGTGTACTGATGATCAACACTGAGGGCCCCACGGAGCCATGGGGCAGCCCTGATGGTAAACTGTATTGAGTCATGCATTGGGTTACTTTCTCAACCTAGCCTATTACAGTACATGTTTAGTAATCATGAGTTTGATTCTGAGCAACCAAATGAACACCCACATGATTTCCTGTTCTCCTCTGTTTCTCTGTAGAGTCTGCCGACCCGCTCCACCAGCTCCCACTTCTCACAGCACCCTGAGTAGTTGACAAAGTTCCTGGCCAGGATCTCCTTCAACTGCCTGACAGAGAGGCCCTCGATGTCACTCACACTGGAGATGTCCGAAAGAGACGCTCGGAGCAGACGCCGCGTCTGAGGGCTCGTCTAAAGCAGCACAAGGCTCGAGTCAAACAGTAATAACCCTTATCCACATAATTAACATCAAACCACAGTGCTCTTGTGATGTGTTGCAATAGAAAATGCCTTCAATCTCAGAAACCTGGAACTGCACTAAACTAGACACGCTCACAAAAGATCATCACTCCGATTACCTCAGGTGTGTGTTCACTGGGGTCCAAGTTGAGAAGTGACACTGATGTGGCATCACCTATGTCCTGCATCAGAACAGAAAGAGAACATTCCTCTTCAGTACATGCAAAGGAACAGAGAGCCTACTGACGAGCTAAATTAGTCATTCTTTGTTAGGGCATGATACCTTGAGCACAATGGCACCCTCCTCCTTTTATAGTAAGGCTAAGCAGTCCCAAAGCTATTCACATAATTCTAGTGGATCTGTCAGCTCAGAGCTTCTTATCATCCATAACCCCTCTTTATGTGGCTCACACCACAATACGGTTGGAACTTCAATTTGTTTAATTTCAATTTACCTCTCCTTCAAAGTTGGTGATTTTTTTTCAAAATCATATCTGTGTTGTACCTTAATGTAATGAAAATTCTGTGTGTTAGCTGTATTGATTGTTAGTGCACCTATATGTGTGTGTGCGTGTGTGTGTGTGTGTGTATGTGTGTGTGCGTGTGTGTGTGTGTATGTGTGTGTGCGTGTGTGTGTGTGTATGTGTGTGTGCGTGTGTGTGTGTGTATGTGTGTGTGCGTGTGTGTGTGTGTATGTGTGTGTGCGTGTGTGTGTGTGTATGTGTGTGTGCGTGTGTGTGTGTGTATGTGTGTGTGCGTGTGTGTGTGTGTATGTGTGTGTGCGTGTGTGTGTGTGTATGTGTGTGTGCGTGTGTGTGTGTGTATGTGTGTGTGCGTGTGTGTGTGTGTATGTGTGTGTGCGTGTGTGTGTGTGTATGTGTGTGTGCGTGTGTGTGTGTGTATGTGTGTGTGCGTGTGTGTGTGTGTATTTATATATATATATATTTTTTTGTGGGGGGGGGGGCAGGGGGGGGGGAAAAATCATGCCAGTGTCCTCCTCAATGCCCAATGTGTGACTATTTTCCAACATTAAATTGCTCACGTTAAGTCTCGTCGGACCCGACAGGGAGGACCCATGTGTTGAAAACGTTACCATAAGCGTGAAATATATCAATATTGAGGTGTATTTTGCAGCTCATGCGTTTTTCAAAGCTCAACAAATAAATTACTAGCAATCAAGCCACTCACGTAAAATTAATGAAGCCTTCCTTTAACTGATGTGTGGACTCTATATATATCCCTATATACAATACCCAGTTCATTACAGTGATTAGGGAGTAGGGAATACTGTACGTGATTGATTCCGAATATTGCCTTTGTCTTCAATTTATCAGAGTTAACAAAAAAGGTATTCATGTACTGACCCGGTTGCTGTCAGAACTATCACTCCTGCTGAGAGGTTCCGCCTGAGAGGCAGCAAGTTGAGACAGCTCTGAGGCAGACTGTATGGTCGAAGGTGGTGGAGTATACATGGAACGTGAGTGGAGACTACTTGTGTCAGGCTCCTGCTCCTCCTCTTCTTCCTCCTCATCCTCCTCCTCACTGCCTTGGTGACAGAGCACCAGGTCCACCAAGTCTTCTTTTTCTCTGCACGTGTCGGTGGGGACATTATGAAGCAACAAGTACTGTCGCAGGTCCCTGACCCTTAGACGCATTAGCCGTGGCCGATGGAAGGCTGTTGCCTTCAGCAAATGACACGTGGCACAGATGCGCACATTCTCGAGAGGCATGGAACACAGAGAGCAGAAGCACTTCTTGCAGTCGCTGCAAATGTGCTGAAGGGAAAATAGAGCAGAGAAAAAAAAGGCATTGGAAATTAGACATTCTAGGCATTTAATGGCGTTTAAAAGTTGCTGCATTAAAAAAAAAACTGCATTTGGACAAAAAAAAAGGAATAAAAATAAAAGTGATATTTAATGAGCCCTTCAGAAGCAGAACATCTGTTCAAGATGTTCATGCACAGAAACAGCAGGTTGCATGATTTTTTTTAACTGACAAAGATCAAAAAGTAACACATGCATGGATTGGGATTCCACTGGCACGCGAGCGAGACAAGCTCGAGGTCTTGACATAAGGAGACCCTCTGCCATACATGAACATGAGCACTGAGTTCGAGGCAAGGGGGTGGGGCATGTTTCAGCATCTGCTTCAAGAATCAGCTGGGACCACACTGTGCTTCCAATTAAAACAAATCTGCTGGCATCTGGGTGTAAACGAAATGGACTTTAACCCATTAAACCTTAGCTCTAAAACAAAAGAAGAGGATTTGTGAGCATAATGATTTTTTTTGTCTTATTCACATCAAGACATTAAAACTGATATGACTACACGCATTATGGTTTATGCTGATAAACACTGAAGCCTATAACTTTTTTAATAAAGGTTAATTGCATATTAATAGCAATTTGCATTACATTTATCTGTAATGATTAGTAATTCGCTTCACAGGCCAAAATCAAATATTGAAACGTCACTTTTTCAATGTCGTCTGAAATATTGTCTCTTAAAAAACACACATCCAACACTGGGAAATCAATTATTTGAGCAAAAACTGACGTGCTATGTTCACTTACTACGTGTCTTAAGTTGTGTATACTTTGCTCCTCACATGCAGACAATAAACAAACATGCCATCAAAAGCCCCTGGTGTGGTACCTACCTTCCTCCTGAAGACCGAGAACGCCAGACCACAGGACTTGCACACTAGGCTGGGAGTTCCTGAGCTAGTGGGAGGATATGTAGAGTATCCTGCACTGGGGGCGAACCTGAAGGGTCCAGCACCTGCCCCGAAGCCTGGCTGCTGACCTCTGACGGCTCCGGTACCCATAACTTCATTCAGCAGACCGCAGCATGAAGCCCACACGGACGAGGCTCCTGCCTGATATTTTTAAGAAAGCACGTTCAGTTCAGATTAATTTGTATTTTCTTTCATACTGTATATTTTCTTAATTTCGAGGCGGGGACAGAATGTGTCCCCGTGAGTGAATGTCTGCTCAATTAAATTTAAGAGGAAGAAATATGCAGTACTATTAATTTAGCTTCACAACCAAAAGCAACATAATATAAATATTTACATTTACACACAGAACGAGACGTTTCTGACAGGGAAAAGACACCCTTTAGTGTCACTGGCAAGATAATCCTGTAACCAACACTACATTCGCACTGGTTAACATCAGGATAAAGTGGCCACCGATGGCTCGGGTTACATTGCTAAGGTTAGCTGGATGCTAGCAACCATCAAAGCAGGAAACGAAGCTAAGAATGAAACGAGAGTTAAGTGAAAAGGCACCTTCATTGCCGCTCCGGAATGTCTACTGAGAATGTGCAGGTTGACAGTGTATTCATTGCAAGGTGGGCGTCTGTTGGTAAACTGCTGAACTGGCCAACGGTGTCTTGGCGTGATTACGCTGCCGAGTGCGAGCGTTCGGGATTCTTCTTCTGTCCCAGTACGTGGCCACAGACACAACAAGACAGTTCTTTATCGCCATCAACTGGAAAGGTTGAACTTGTCCTTGTTCTGTATGATACGTATTTGCTGTGGTATATCACCATACGCGAAACTGTTCATATATCCATTTTCTAATTTCTTATCATCACAAGGGTCGCGGGCGTGCTGGAGCCTACCCCAGCTGTCTTCGGGTAATAGTAGGGTTGCCAGCCAATCGCAGACTAAACTGTTCAGTAGTGTAAAAGACCTGGACTGTGTTATCGTCGACAAAGAAACTAATTATTAGAGCCTGTTTTGTAAGTGTTACGTGATAGCTTGTAGCATAAATTGTGTTTTAATGGCTAATTTAAAAGTGTGAGAGCTTCCATTTTACCTCTGGATTTTGTTTTACAAAAAAATTAGGCCAGATTAAAAAAAAGTTAAATAAAAAGTACGTTTTTCTTTTACAGTTTTGAGAAAATAAAATAGTATAGCATTTTAAAAATCGTGGCAATATCATTCAACATTGTAACATTTTCTCCTCACAACCCGATACGGGTGATGATTTTAGTTCATGATTATAATATGTGGTGGGCCAGTTAAAAAAAAATGCATGCAGTGATCCGCAAATGGCCTCCGTGACGGACAGACCCCAGACATCAAGTGACAGTCGACAAAGTGCACAAAATTAATGGCTCTCACTAATACTAATACTAATACTCATACTAATACTGTAATTGGAATCATCAAAAACAACCTACTGTATAACTTTTCATTTGATGATTAAAAAAGTTTGCTCCTATTTTTATTACGGGATATTTATCATCCAATTATCAGTGTTATGAGAAATACTGAATAGGTAACTAACAGTGGTCAGAGTATTATTAGGATAGACTTCTTTGGAGGCTTGTTTCACCGATACACGGGACTTCATAGTTTTTACCGAGTGGTCAGCAAATTGTTTTCGCAAATGTATGTCAGTCCCATATAGCCAAATACTGTACAATGAATGGTCTTTGTTCAGTCTCTATCTCATGAGGTTTGCGGCATCTCGCAAATGAATGAGGCATCGCCGGTAATTGCCTCCACATTCAATATGGCTGCAACGTTTATGATTCTGCATCAAAGCAGGGTCTACTTATATTTGCAATCCATAGTAATAGCAATGTAATGAAAAAGAAAAGAACTAGGCCATCTGGTAAAAAAAAAAAAAAAAAATCATTTAAGTTTGAATATAGGAAAAAAAGCACACCGGTCCCAAATACAGCTCTGGAATAAATCAAGGGACCACTCAAAATTAATTGCATGTCTTTGACATATTACACAGAGGCCCATGGTTGGTTGTTTCAACATACTTGATTTCGAGGTTACAAACCACACACAATGAACTAGTTTGCACAGTGGTGTAAGAATATGTTGTCACGTAACATTGCTCATGAGTGGATACTTAGACCAAAGTCTAAAAAAGTGAACTGTGAAGTGAATGCAAGCCCCAATAAAGGCAGGACAGTGGACTGATGCCGTCTCATGTTTCAACACCCGTGGGTTAACCTATTTGTGGATTTTTTTTTCAACATTAAAAAAATAAATAAATAGAAATTGTATAAAAATGTTGTTTTGCCCATTGTTCGTGGAAAACACTTGTTGGCGATTTAACAGCCTTTAAAAATATTTTGTTAAGTTTAAAACATCTATATTTCTAAGGATATCCCTGTATAATTGACACTGTTGCCTACTACTAGTGTGAGTCCAGTGCAATCGTTTGTCTTGTATTTTCACTTGTGGAAGGAGCATTGAATTACCATGCAGATCCATCTATGTGGATGTAGCTGCCATTTGCCATTTCGCCAAACAAACCATTTACACCAGGAGAGTTGTAAACCAATCATTTGGATTTCAAATCTGTTGAAAATGGCAATGGAATCATACACAGAGACCTTGATGATTTTTTTTTTAACATTGACTAAGTTTGACTACTTTTTCTAATGCCAATAATATATATTTAGGGTCAGGTAAATTAAAATAAAAGGTCATTAAAACACGTGTTATTCAGTTTTTATGTTATGATTAGTAATAATGTTTAAACACATCATTATCGTTTATTGATCGATCGATATATCTAGAAAATAAAACTATACATTGACTAGAAGTAGTGACTGGATGGCCACCGGATTAAACAATAATCATTATGTCGCCAAAAATCACAAGGATTCTTCGTTGTAATCCAACAAAACTGACTTGAAACGTTAACCTCCTGTCAAACTCAGAATAAGAGATCTGAATGAGACTAATTATCGATACATTTGTGAATATTTAATACTTGTAAATTGTAACAATTATGACGTGTAAAATCTTTGTTGTTATTGTCACTGCTGTCAAACAGAATGTGAGCGTCCCTTTCTGATGACGTCACTTGCGGCTTCTGATTGTGCGCGCGCTTGGTGTATATCCAGGTGAAGTTGACGGAGAACATTTCTTTTAGTTTAAACGTCAGTCGTGTTAACGATGGAAGCCGGCGCCTCCCTTATGAGTATGATGGTCATGTATGCGGACGAGTCTGTCGATATTCGCTATGAAAACGGGGCACAGTTACTACTTTCGCCCTGTGGCAGTGAGTTCATGCTGGCGAGAGGCTCAGTGCCTGCTGAACATCCTCTTCAAACTCCCGTGAGAGTTCGACAGAGGACGCGGTTCACCACCAGCGCTTATAAAGTACAGTTAAAAAAAATACTAACCCTATTTTCAAACGTTAACTGATGTAATTTGAAACTATTAATTGTACAGTAATTTAGTGTATTGGTTGTCAAAGCTGCGTCATTCTTCTCAACTCAGGAATTGATCATCACTGCACTGGCGTTCAGAAATAAGTATGCCAGTCGACCATATCTGCCAGAGGAACTCACCACTCCGATTCATAAACAGGTACCATTATCTTCAGTATCTGCTGTGAATTGGGAATTTCTCCATTGCGAGACTAATAAAGGTTTTCTTATCTTATCTTCTCATACATTCTACATACATTCATTCCACCCCCCGCCCCCGCCCCCCCATCCCCTACTACTCAA